AGACTCTTTCAGCCACAACAGCTTTTAATTAGACCACAGCCAGCCTTAGTTTATGTTGTCGCCAGTTTTAGAAATTGTAAACTGAATATTCTGTTGCTTAGTTGAGCTGCCCCCCCTTTTTTCCCGGAGATGAGATATTTCAGTATGTACATGGAAAATGATGAATTATTCATGGAATGCTTTTCAGTTCAAGGTAGAGTGGAGGTGCGTGCAGCTTTGGCTGTATACACTGAAGGCAGGCATCTGGCTTAAAGTGAGCAGTTGAGTTCTGATGTAGTCCAAGGTTACTCAGTAGTTGGTGTTTTCCAGCCGCTTAGATGGATCTGAAAGTGCCGCCACTGCAGCTCTTGCAGTGGTAGCAAGAGACTGGGGCTGCAGTGACACTTGAACAGAGAGAGGGAGAGATACAGGGAGAGATGGAGAGAGAGATCATATAGTGACCATACAGCTCTTATGGCACAGTGCTACCAATAGCAGAGAGGCTTCTTTCTCTGCTGCACCAATTGTGCAGAGAGGGAGGATAGAAGAGCTAAAGACGAAATGAAATGGCATTTTCATGAAATGCTCTAATGACTTGTCATATTGCTGTTATGGCTTGTTATGATGTGAACTGACCTTTTTTTCCCTACCTGGTCTGTTTAAGAATGATCAGCATCTTCGTCCAGCTCATCCTCACGATGATCACAGCTTTCTTTGGCTTTCTATTTCTACTTTTTATACATCACTGTAGCAAAATGATTTATTTTATTGGCAATAATCTAGAGGCTTGAAGCACCAAGCAACATCTGTGTAAATTTGTTATGACAAATTGATTAACATCAAGCCTTGGTGCATGCTTTAGATGAAAATTGGATAAAAAATGATTTAAATCCCAAAATGATTTCCTAAATTGAACCTGTTGTTACACATGTAAGGGGAAACAGTTCTAATCACTGAACATTTTAACCTCACATCTCTGCAGTGATTCCTAGGAACTGGTGCAGAAAACAGTCAACAGATATTTTATTTAGATTGTCTTATCTTCCAGATGTGGTTGTATGCATGTTTGATACGTTTGTTTTTAATTTTGTACCAGCTGATGGGCCTTTTTATGCTTTTTTATTGTCACTCCCTACAGTCTTCTGTTTGGCTTTGCTTCAATGCCTGTTAACATCAAGGTCTTCTGGTGTATTTGGCTTTTCTTTCTAACACAATCTCAAAAAAGTGACTTTATTGAGTTGATTTAAGAGTTTAAAGAGTCATACAGTATTTAACAGAAGCGATAAAAGGAGCAGCACTAGGAGGTTTAGTGTGATGGGCAGCAGTGTGATTTATACCTCACATTTCATTGTAGTGTATGGAGCCTTTCAGTGGCCACTGTCCATTGTCTTGTGACAGAAACCACAATTTGTAACCTTTCCTGTACTCCATTACTGAGGGCAGCAGTTGAGTAATGAATATCCATTTTACCTCTCTCTGTTTCAGAGCTATTTCTCTTTGGTCCAAGCTTTCAAATTCATTTTTCTTTGGCTAACAGCCACTATGCTGCTGGAAAGTGGACGTTTGTGGTGCAGAGTTCAAGTTATGATGTCCAAACATTGGGTAGCTTTGAATGCAGGATAATTGTTTCACCTGTGTTATATCTCAAATACATGTTGTGCAACCTGTGAGTATGGTTTATTATCACAGAAGAGTCTGCAGCCATGCTACCAGCTTTGTGAGGCTGTATTTTCAAACAGCTTTTACCTAAATGCTAATGCCATGATGCTAACATGTTCACAACATGCTGAGCAGGTTTAAGGTTTACAATGTCCACTCTCCTATTTTCCTATCCTTTTAGCATTTAGCACAAAAACACAGTAACACAAAGCTGATAGGAATGTCACTGGTTTTGCAGGTATTTAGTTATAAACTAGCTCAAATATTAATTGTTATACACTTTCAAATTCTGACCTGGGGATGGAACTAGATGGCTAAGGGATCACCAAAGTTCAATTTATCACATAGGGAACATTCATTTTTGTACAACATTTTTTGGCAACCTATCAAATAGTTGTTGAGATAGTTCAGTCTAGACCAGGGCTGAAAAGGTCCAGTGACTGAGACCTTCCCAAATCTGCTTAACTCATTTCTCTCCTACAGTATGTAACAGGATTATAGCTGACCTCGTAGCACCTGGGCCCCAGATAGCTTCCCTCTTTTTTCCCCCCTTATGGGTGTCCATGGCCTGGACTAAGGCGGTGGACCGACTAACTGACTGACTGACGATCTGCATCCCATAGATGCCCCACAGCTAACATGGCTGAAAAAAATCAAATCAAACCCTATGATATCAGTGCTCTAAAATAAACCATTTCATATTCATTGAAATTATAATCTTGGATCTATCTCAGGCGCTTACTCAATTAAAGAAGTCAAAACATGATTGGGACAAGTTTAAACCCTTAGTGACTAGAACGAGAATTCCTACCAGAGCGAACAAGCTCTCACTGTACAGAATCTCGTTTCGTTTCTTTGATTGCTCGTACTGACTGCACTTAAAATCTGAAGACGTCATCTTCACTGCATTGGTCACCCAGGGTTCTGTTGTCAGGTACATGTTCCTCATCAGACTCCAGGCGCTTTACTCTCCTGGCTTGTTCCACCTCCTTAATAGGTGTCAGCACAGCTTTTTGGTCTGACAGAAACCACCTTGTGTACAAACGGCTCTTAGTTCGCCACAGGCTACACCTCCTACATGTGTTAAAATATCTCATTTTAAAAGCGAAAAAAGCTAAAATTGGACAATGAACATTTTCCCAAGTACATAAGGAAGCACTCTCAATCTGGCAACAATGCTTTTCCTTAGGGCATTATACAGCCAAGTACTGTCTTCTTTGACAAAAATATCTTTGTGTGCACGAAATGCAGCAAGAGACTGTTTTGATGCATGTATTTACTAAAGCCAAAAAGCCAAACCAATTAACCAAGGTTTGGAAAAAAAAACCTCTCTTGAACCACAACCACTAGAGAGTTGTTGATGGTATATCAACAGTTTTTTTTTTTACTTATTCATCTGCAATTATTGTCTTTCTGTTCAGTCCTAACATGTTCATATGTACCTTTTATACATCACAAGATGCCCAGACTAACAAACCTTTACAGATGAGCATGAGAAGATGGAGGGATTTTCATTAGAGAGGTGGGTGGGGTGGTATCAATTAATCATTCCCCACCAACGTACAATCCTTTCCATGACCCTCTCTCAGAGGAAAGGTGAAGGGTAGGAAAGATAGAAAATCTGGGTGCTAAGATGAAAAAGTGAGATCCAATAAAGGTAAAAACTGTGATGGAGTACATGTTGTAATGGTGCTCCAACAAACCCCACCCCAATCGGCAGTTTGTAAAGGAAGCGAGCACGTAGGGAGAGAGTTGGGTAAGGAAATAGTAATGGATACATCCTGTAGTACAGGCGCACTTTAAAATGCGTCCTTTAAGCTAGAGTGTACATTATGTATTAACAGCCCCACGCCTTCATCTTCTCTGCAGAGAGAGAGAGAGGGAGGGAAACCTGACCAGAGAGGGAAGAGTTAGGGGGAGATATAAGAGGAGTGGGGGATGTGGTCCAGAGAGACAGAAGAAGCAAAAAGCTGGCAGGTCTTATCACCACTCAGGCAATCATACAGATACATGCAAACACAAGGTACACAAAGTACCTCCAACCACGCACACACACATGGGGTTTACCATTCGCTGCCATATTTGGCCTGAAGCCATTAAGTTTTAGGCAGTGGAGTGAAGTCTGGGTTGAGCTTTGGTTGTATAATTAATAGAAAAAACTTAATAATATTTTCGGATAGGGGTGAATGCATTTCAAGGAGAAAGCAAAATGAATTCTGTGTACATCACCAGTGGCTGGCCCTTTCCCCACCCTTACGTTTTTGTGTATAGTGCTACATACAATATTATTTCATGTTTGCATATTTTTAGGACAAACTTTGTTCTGACATAAGCGTGTTAAAATATTAGCCTTGTGTCCCCAGTAGCCTATTTAATGTGTGTCTCTCAGTGTAGGCTGTGTCTTGCTATGTTCTTAACTACAATAATTGCTGAAGCTTTAGTGTTTTAGCATGCTAACATTTGGTAAAAGACGAACAATTCTAATCTGCAGTCAGTTGCGTGTTAGCTTTGTTTAACATAAGACTGGAAACAGGAAATGGCTAAACTGGTTCTGGCCGAAAGTAAGAAAACCTAATCTAATCTAAAGCTCACTGTACCACAATACTTTATATGTTTGGTTTTTTTTAGTCTGTACTGTGTTGGACTATTTTTCGGCCTGATGCAGTGAGGAAATCGTTGTCATTTTTATCAAGACAAATAACTTATAATATCTGTGTTCCTTATATGATACTGTATGACTCAGAGTGGCTTTTAGGGCCGCATGAACTTCTGCATAATCAAATACATTTTAAAAATCCAGCTATTCTTCATTTTGACAGAACAGTTAAAGATGTTTGTAACTGATAGCAATTACTTATTCATAGTTGTATCAGTGTGTGTGTGTGTGTGTGTGTGTGTGTGTGTGTGTGTGTGTGTGTGTGTCTTTCTATGTATTAGCGATTGTATCTACTCTGTGTGCATTTGACTATTTGACCAGCAGTCAGCTCTCCCAGCCAGTCTCCATCTATCACTCTGGCTTAATTCAATCAGGACCCGTGTCTCAATCTAAACTGGGTTGGCTGCCGCTCCCGGCCAGTCACCATGCCACCGGCAGCCCCGCCACAGCAACAAAGACTCCAGACAGGAGGAAGGGAAAGAAAGAAAAAGGGAAGGGAAGAGAGAAAGAAAGAACATAGGGTGAACAAACTGAGCATGAAGAAGACAAAGTCAGATAACTGCGTTTAAAAAAAAAAAAAAAGACTGGAGAAAAGCAGATGCTGCAACTGCCACTTGTGTATGAGTGATGTCACGGTTTATGTACGTATGTGTTGTGTGATGGAGAACAGACAAGCCATGTGTCTGACCATGCATTTGTGTTGCAGCTCTGCCTCGGAGGACTTGGGCTGCAGGCGTGGAGACTTCAGCAGGAAACACTATGGTTCAGTCGAGCTGGTGAGTCCCATTCACAATGCACTCACGTGTTTGTTGCTCTCTTTGTCTCCTCATCCTCTTTCTCCTCATCCTCCTCGTTGATTCTTCTCCTCATGATCTCCCCTCCCTTTCTGACTCTCTCTCTGTTACTGCCTCCCCCTCTTTTCTGTTGGCATGGATGGACAACAGAGGGGGACTGATGAGTCATGACGTACTGGGTGTGGTCCAGCAATGTGCTTTGCCAGCGTTGATCACAATGGGTGCTCCGCTCCCAGTGATGCAGGACTCTCTGCTGCCTGCTCAGCTTCCAAAGTTCATTTGTTTTGTTTTGACGCTGCTGGTGTAAAGCTGCAGCGCAGTGTGTGTCTTTGTGGTTGATTACTAAGCTGTTGAGTCATTGTTGCTTTGGGGGAATGTGTGTGTGCGAGTGTATGTCCCTCCACTGTGAGCTGAGTCTGTACATCCCGATAGCCCAGAGGGACAGGAAGTCCTAGGGTTTCGCACTGAATCGTGCTTCCTACCAGAGACATATTGTGGGTTTGTCTATGAGTGCTGCCCGCCACGTGTGTGACTGATTAGTGTTGAGGAGAAACCACATGCTGCCTATCAGCCCTAGCAGACTGACACTACGCATAATGCTGCTGTGTGTGGGGGTGTGTGGAATATCCAAACGCTGTGGTGAGCCAGGATGAGGTCACTGATAGCCTAAATATTCAAAGCGTGACCGCCACCCATCAGAGTAAGACAACGATCTGGCCAATGGTGTCCTCTCATTTTATATATATGTATTTTATATATATATATATATATATATATATATATATAATATGTATTGGTAGATTAGTATCTATCTACTGATTTATTAATAAGACTCTACCTGCCATATGATTTACGACGGTGTTCCATCAGGAACAAAGGTGGATGTAGCGTGATGTTAACACAACAAAATCTTGTTTGGAGGAGGCTGGGGTTCATGGATGGGCCAGCAAAGTATACAACTTGGACTTGCTACTGTTCATTACCTGCTTCCAACCAACATTGTTTTCTTTTCAATATGACCACAATCTTTTCTTATAGCAAAAATATAACAGTCACCTCCCCTTTACCAATATAAACCTTGAGCAAGGCAGTGACAGGTCAGAAAACAACCATTAATTAGTTTTGTAAAACAACAACAGATCATAAAGCACCTGTGCATTAAGAGGCTATTAAGTAGACCTTAAATTTAAAGAAACTGTCGACCGTTTTGGGAGCTTTGTATTCACTTTCTTGCCGAGAGTTAAATACCACATTCATGTCTTTATAGTAAACATGAAGCAAGCAATTAGCTTAGCTTGGCACAAAGATGGAGAAAAGGGGGAAACAGCTACCCTGGCTCTCTCTAAATTTCACCTGCCAGCACCTCAACTCACTAATTAACAGATTGGTTTGTGTAAAAAAAACAAAAAAACCCAACAAACCCAGTGTGATTTCATGGGCATTTGCATGCTGCAACTATTTCTTTGCCAGGTGCAACGACTTCCTGGAGTCTCCACCGGTTGCCTGGCAACCTCACGGCGCCAACAAGGAGGAAGCCAGGCCAATACGTAATATTGATCTTATCATTTATCTCTTGGCAAGAAAATAATAATGAAACCCAAAATGTCAAACTAGCTGTGAAACAACTGTTAACAAGATCAAGAACTTTCAGGCTAAACACATTTTGTTTAGTTATGAAGACATGTTGCATCGATGCTAAGGTGCTGTGACCAAAATATACAAGTTGTACAAATGTGAATCCTCAGATCCGTGAAGTGATCGTGAATGGGACAATAAACTAGACTGAAGTAGCAACACCATGTGTAAACTGGGCATTTGCAGAACAGAACCCATTCAACTTCCTCTACAAGCTCCTATTTGGCCTTGATGAGTAGCCTAGGTTATGTTAAGCGGCACCAGTAATAGTCTCCTTGGTACAGTGCTAAGGAATGATTGCTAATTCAGAACTACTTTCTCATTCTTGTTGTAGCTAGAGTTAGTTTAATCAAGTACATGTAAGTGTTTTACCAAAACCAAAATCACATAAACCTTAAAGAATAATATTTTCCAGTACGAGTCTGTTTTTCAGACATGACAATTCCTGAAGGGATCAGAGGCTGTGTGTTTGATAGAAGAGTAAGTGGATAATGGAAAATTAATGGCAGGGCTTGATAAACCCAGGTTGATCTTCAGAAATAACCTCAGGGAGGATAAGCGCATGATGCCAAGCTTATGTTTTTCGCAATTATCTGTGGTCCTTGACTCTGCAGTGAAATTAAGTCTTTTGTTTTTCTGTTGGAAAAGAAATATAATTGCTTGTGTGAACATACAAGGGAAAGTGTTTTTGTCGACTCTGGCGCTCACACTGTTTAAGGCTGTGTGTCTCCAAGGGAGCCTTGTGCAAAAGTCAGGAAAGAGTCAGTGGAAATTCACATCCTGATGCCTTTTAGCCAACAAACAGCTCCTTATGTTGACACTACTGAATCTGTGTGCTCATAGTCTGTGTGTGACCAGTGTAAAGTCTGCAAGATATTATAAGCACCTGACATTTCCTCCAAAATCATAGAAGTCATAAAATTAGGAAGATGTGATAATTTTATCTTGAATAACCACAATTCTGATACTGGATATCTTTATGTTTCCCATTGAAGGGGTCAACACAAAATCAAACTTTACTGTATATACAGTAGAGATATAAAATGGCGCTTTAAAATTTTTTTTTTATAATATAAAAAAATTATTAAATGTATCGAAGCTCTTAAAAGCCTTTTTGGTCTTAAATTTGAATGTATGTCATCTTTCATTGGATTTTCTTTTTATCAGAATCAGTTCAGAACTAGATTTTTGATTGAAGTAATAATACACCTTCCTTTAGAGTTAAATGTGATACTAACTATTGGGAAAAGGCCTACTTTAGACCAAACCAACTTCATTTATCTGTCCAAATGAATCCTTGAACCGGTGCCATAGCCATTAATCCATCCCACCCCAAATACATGTTTTACTAGCTATGATATTTTTTAATACATTTAAATTAAATTATGAATACATTAACTGTTCAGTTATATGTTCTGTAAATGTTATTGGTCTAATGTTGCAAAGCCTTCTTGACACTGATCTAATTCTGGTGGAGAAAGAGTAACTTTCATTATATTGTACTTTAATGTAATAAACTTTGCCCTGAATTTGACAAATTTAAAGATATTTAGTACTGACAAAAAAAAAAAAAACACAGAATCAGCTTTCAAAATCCACCATTTGTAATTTGTGTGTAAAAAACAGAGGACATGTCTTGTAGCTACATAACAATAGGGCTTTTCTTCCAAAACAAGCTAGTGTCACTAGCTAATGCCACACTCATATGCATGTGTAATTTAGACAGCTGAATGTCCTAGAATACATTTGTACTAGATATATGTTCAATAAATATGTTATACTGAATATCCTGGAGTTTATCTATGTATGCCACCTGTTGACTGTATGATTTGTCCAGAAAATCGTGCATTTCTTTAAATGTTTGTCTTAGAAAAGTCTTAAAAAGATTAAATTCAACTTTATTTTTCTCCACATGCTAAACAGAGAATACAAGATATATATTTTAAATCAAACATTCCTATGTATGCAGTATTTTAGTCTATTCAATATGGTATCTATAAAGCAGTGACAACAGTATACCTTATTATTATGGCTACAAATCACTTCTCCATTTGTGTTGTATCCTTTCTCAACATGAGTTTGACTCCAGTGTATTCCAGTGCTTTGAAGAACATGTTTTCAAATGTCTCAACACAAGTGGAAGATACAGATTCAAAGCAGGGTCTCCCTAATAAGACAGAGCAGGAAAAGCAGAGCTGTGACTCATTCTGTGTGTTTGTTTTATATATGGCATCATTGAAGCGGCAGTAGCAGTTGCCAATAAGAGCAGGTACCTCCACAGACACCATCATAGAGATGTGATTCAGTCTAGTCGACACACACACAAACACACAGACACACACACACACACACACACACACACACACACATACGGCAACTATGTTTGACATTATAGAACTGTATAGGATCCGGTTACATCTCAGCAGAAGTAGAAGCTTTGTGATAAGGAAGGAAGTTGTAGGAATCTGTGACACTTTTGAAATACAAAGTTCCTATTCTTATACTAAGACATGAAGATTGACTTCAGTAAATCTATCTTTATGTATGTGAGCACCCTTCAGAGCATCACATCTTCAGAACTATAATAAAACTAGCAAAGCAAAATGACTCCCAACAACATTAGCTAATTTGCACTTAACTCAAAGTACAGCTGAGGCTGATGGGAATGGCGTAGGCGTTGCACGTATTTAATCACAAACCAAAGTATTGAAAAAACAGAAATTTTGACTTGATGATGGCACCTCATGATAAGTTTTTTCAATTCATCCTTTATGGACCATGACTGAAATTTCATAGCAATCAATCAAATATTTATAGATAAGTTGATGAAAACCAGAAATGCAAACCTTACAGTGGCGCTACAGCGCAGATACCCAACTTGCTTTGCCTGGTTGCGACTTTTACAAAATGACAGGAAGCCAGGGGCAGTTAGTAAACAAACATTAATACTATTATTAATATTAATATGAATAATTATTATATACTATATTCTTTATTTTTAACTTATTAGCGGAATGAACTTGGTACAAGGGTTGATCTATATGAGAAATAAATTAGATATTTTACTGCATGTAATAGCTTCAACTGTATTTTAGTTGTAAATGTTGCATTTGAAAGAATTTATAAAAAAAATAAACATAGCTGGAACCTGTTCCATCATGTAGTCACTCAAATGTTGGACTCATTAATAAACATAAACCAGGAACATGAACTGCTCCTACCAGGGACAAACACGAAACGACAGCTTCGACTGAAGTAAAACTCTCTGTTGTTTCCTGGTTGTTTCCCTACTGTGTCGCTATGGCAATCAGCTCCGCCTAAGTTGAGGTGGTACTATCCAAAGTACA